ACCCTGACTGGCCAGGGACCATGGCCTCAGCAGCAGCAGGTAAAGTGACAAAGGTGTGAGACTGTCACCAGAGAGCAGGAAGCCCAGGGCCAGCAAGGTGGAGAAACAGCCCACATGCGTGGCAAAGAGGGCCCTAAGCAGCCTCGAGGCTCAGGTGGGTGAATCCCGGCAGCCCAGGAGAGGCACTTGGTAGCTGCACAGGAGAAACCCTTCTTTCTGCACACACTCCAGCCAGCACACAGGGACATGCACTATGACAAGGTTTCCATCAAAGGAAAACTAGGAGCCACCATTAATTAGAAAAGAAAAAAAAAAGTGATTCCTCTGTTGTGTGTCCACACTGTAAAATACTATGGAGTGATCAAAAAGAACGAAATCATTCTATGGGTAAGGGCAAGAAGAGATGTCCAGGAGAAACTGTTAGGGGAAAAAACTGTAGAATGACATGTGTAATGCGAGCCCTTTCTATTAAGAGGTGGAAAAGAAATACTCACCTAATAAAAAATGATCTCTTTTGTATCTGGGTACCTATACATCCTAGCACAGAAGTTTGATAAAAAAAAAAAAAAAAAGCCAGCCACAGTGGCACACACGGGTAATCCCAGCACACAGGAGGCTGAGGCAGGAGGATCCCTGTAGTTTGAGGCCAGCCTAGGCTACAAAGTGAGACCTTGTCTCAAGAAAATTACTCTTAAGTCATTTTTACTATTAGAAAGGGAAGGAAGAGGCAGAGGCCCTAAGTGGCGCGCAGGATGAAGTCACCAGGCCAGGCCAGGCCAGGCGGCTGAAAGAGCCACTGAGAGAAATGCAGCGCCGCTAGGGGGCAGAGCGGGACCAGGGCGGAGAGCCGGGAGCGCGGAGAAGGGAGCCGGAGGCGCACAGGAGCTCACCAGCGCGTCAGCGAGTCCTGAATGGCGTTGGTGAGCGCGTGGCCCAGGTGCAGGGAGCCTGTCACGTTGGGGGGTGGGATGCACATCATGAAGACGCCCCGCGGGTTTGGTGCTGACACACTGGGGCGCTGGGGCAGAGAAGGACGGCACCACTAAGGCTCGCCATCCCGCAGGGCCCTGCCGCCCCCCGGCCGGCGCGGCGCCCACTCACCCCGAACTCGGGCTTGAAGAAGCCCTGCTGCTCCCACCAGGCATACCAGGCGGCCTCCACGTACCGCGGGCTGTAGGAGTCGGGCATGGCGCCGCTGACATCTGCGGGCAGGGGGCGGGCTCAGCCGGGGCTGCAACGCAGAGGGGGCCGCGGGCAAGGGGTGGCCCCTCCTCCCGTACCTTTCTTCTCCCCAGGGGGAGTCGGGGTGTCGTAGGTAAGGACGCCTGGGTCTCGCTTCTCCTTCTTGTCTGCTCTGGGCCTCTTCTGCTGGGAGCACAAGGCAGGGGCATCAGGAGGGTCCTCACCCCTGTCCACACCGCAGCCCCCAGCGCCCGAGCCTGGCCGCACCTCCCCTGAGGGCTGCTGCTGCTGCAGCCTCTGCTTCTGCTGGAATTTCTCCAGCTTCTCCCGTTTCTTTGCTTCCTTCTTGAGCTGAGCAGCTGTCTTAGGAGGTGAGGAGACCTCGGGGCCTAAAAATGGAGCAGAAATTCAGTCGGCCAGAGGGGTGGGGGGTCCACACTGGGCTGGCAGGTTCAGGGCTGCCCTCCCATCCCTCTGCCCACCTGGCTGCGGACAGGGGGATCTAGTCCCTGAGTACAGAGCCACCTCGCCCAGCACAGCCCGGAACTCTGGTTGCTGGACACAGGAGCTGAACCAGCGAGAAACATTGCCCCAGATCTGGCGGGCGGAGGGGTCCAGGACCTGGGAGCGAGGAAAGAACAGCCTCAGTCACCGGCAGCTCTCGGCAGCACTGACCCATGGCTGCTCCTCCCGGCCCAGGGACTCACATAGCGGAAGGGCAGTAGTAAGGCTGTCACGGCAGCCAGGTCAGCCAGAGAGGGTGCATCCCCTGCCAGGTACGTGTGCAGCCTCAGCCACTCCTCCAGAGGCCGCAGGGCCTTGCCCAGGGCGCCCAGTGCAGCCTGGCCGGAAGGAGAAGAGCGTGAGACCACCGGACCTGTCTATTCCAGCCCACTCCTACCCGCCCACCAGCCTCTGTCCATTCCAGTCCACGCCTACCTGACCACTGGGCCTCTGCCCACTCCAGCCCACTCCTACTCACCTACCAGGCCTCTGTCCACTCCAGCCCACTTCTATCCACCCACCAGGCCTCTGTCCACTCCTGCAGACAGTGCTGGGATGACAGGCAAGTGCCACCAAGCCCTGCCCTAAGTGTTTTGATTCTGACTACATGGACAAAACAGGAACTGGCCTCATCCTGGTGTGGCTGGCTAGGTACTAGGGCCCATGCTGAGCCTGGAGTTCCAGCCCCTAGCCTGTGTGGGGATGCACACAGGCAGAGCCTAACAATCACATCTTGTGGAGACAACCAGCAACGACGCTGCCTCCTCTAATCTTTAGTCTTCACTTTCGTGCTTAGTATATTTCATCTGCTGCATGAGGTATGGACTATGGGAATCGGATGTGTGTTCTGCACACACATGCACACCCGAGTACGCCTGTGTGCATCCCCACACGGGCTACCAGCTGGAACTCCAGGCTCAGCCTGGACCCTAGGACCCAGCCAGCCCTCCCCGCTTGAAGGTTTTTCTTCTTTTTGAGTCAGTGTCTCCCCGTGCAGTTCAGGCTGGCCTTGAGCTCATTTTGTAGCCCAGGCTGGTCTCAAATGTAATGATCCTACTGCCTCAGCCTTCCGAGTGCTGGAACGACAGGCAAGCACCACCAAGCCCAGAGCATGGCAAGCATATCTTGTGGAGGGAACCAACAACAAATATATAATGTTGCTCTAATTTAAAAAAAAAAAAAAAAATCCTAGTAAGTAAATAAGCAGGGTCAGGGAGATAGCTCAGTAGAGTATGCGCCTGCCTGGCAAGGGTAGGGTCCTGAATTCAATCCCTGGTAGCGCAAAAAAGAAAAAAGAAAAAGGAAAGAAGCAGACTTGGGCAATAAGCCTTCTCACTAAGGGGGGACTATACGAGGTAGGGTAGCAGATGGGGCACACAACACAGACAATAGTCATTTGCTCACTGAAGAAACACTAAGTATCCACATGTGCTCAGGACTGCCCCAGCGCTCAGTACTTGTCCAGAGCAGAGCCGCGGACACCCCAAGGGCAGCCCCACTCTCAGAAGACACACAGGGACAGCGCCTCCTAGCATCTGTGACCTCTCCCTCGCCAAGTCTTTTCCTCCACTCAAACCTCCATGGCTGGGCAAAATGGCACACGCCTATAATCCCAGCGCTCCGGAGGAGGCAGGAGGACCGCTTTTGAGTTCAAGGCCAGCCTGAGCTACACAGAGACCTTGTCTAAAAATAACCCTCCAAGTAGCCTCTAGCCTCATCAGTTTGACTTCTCAAACTTTTATTCTTTTACTGGCAGTCTTTAAAACGACTCAAAACCACCCTTCCTGTCATCTCATTCAGCCTCGGCGGCAAGTATTACACCAGCTTGCATGTTAGTCACAGGAAGACTAAGCCTCGGTGGCTTCTGTTCCGAGTGCCCGAAGTTTCCGCCCCAGCAGCAGTCCGGGATCTGACGCGGCCCCGTCTGACCAGCTTCGCGGCCTCGGATCCAGGCCGCGCTCGCTCCTGGGCAGCTTCCCCGCGCGTCTCGCTCACCTGGGGGTCCTGCGCAGGGCTTCGGAGCCCCAGCGCCGGCAGCGTCGCCCCGCAGGCGGCCGGGACGAGCTCCGTGTCGGCGTAGCTGACCCACTGCTGCACGAGCGCGGCGGCCCGGCCCCCCGCGGGGCCCCCCAGGCCGGCGGGCCACAGCAGCTGAGCCACGGCCGCGGCTCCCCACACCCAGAGCCCGCCGGGCCCCTGCTCCAGCGCCGGCAGGCGGGGCGGTGGGAAGGGAGCCCGGCTGGCGGGGGGCGGCTGGAGGCAGATGCGGGGGTGCGCGCCGCCCCAGCCGGGCCCGGCCCCGGCCTCCCCGTAGCGCGCCGCGATGAGGGCGCGGAGGCTGGGGAAAGCGTCGGGGTGGGGGGACACGTACAGGATGGACATGGCGGTCCGGGCCCGCGCGGCGGGGCTGAGGAGGCGGGGAGCGGCTGCGGCTGGAGCCCGGCCTGCTGGGGCCGCG